GACCCTAAAGTAAGCCGTTCAGAGTGTGATGCATAAACGAAGAAAACAAGATGGCGGCAGAAGTAAAACAAGATGGTGGCAGAAGAAAAACAACATGACCCATGTCCTGAAAAAGTACGTACGTCCGTAACAGAACATACTGGCAGACGATGTATACAAAATGTCCTCTCTAGGGATGGTTCCCTGGCCATGTTAAGTTTTATTCACGCTAGATCGATACTCTGGAAACTTTGAGAGTGAATATAAACTACTTTTACTGATGACATCTTTTGAACCATTTACTACATAATGTCAACGCTATCTACTGACACATGGTTTCCATAGATAACCCGCCAGCGGCCCGGTGTAGTAGAAGAGTATAAGGTCGCAAAGGTGTCGCTTTCTGTTATTTCAGATCATCCTTCTTATCAAACGGACCAGTTTGAAGATTAAATTAGCCATACGTCTTCCTATAAAGAAGCTCATTCTTCTTATTTGACAGCTGTTCATTAGATATACATGCTCATCGTTAGATAGGAAGGGTTACTAGGCTCATCAATAAAAGACAATGAAATGATCTCTGACAACCACCCTCCCCCATATGAGATTCTTCTCCATTACATGTGTGTGCCTGGAATATTCCCAGCCGATACCATTCATTGACCTTCAATCAATGGCTTCCCTATCCACCGATAAATTACAATATGGCATGGTTTTCCCGACTTTATGACATAGTTCCTATCACCACTTAGATTTTGATTATGCATTTTATCGCTGTATGGAGAGAGTCAGTTTTGCGCTTTAAATTGCGTGAGCCAGTGCGGCAGAACACGTTTTAGTCTTTAGTTCCGTATGCCAAAAAATACTAGGCAATGATTGAAGTGCGATCTTATGTGTCTTGGCTACGTTCCATGTCAACGACTCGGACATCTATCAAGCGGAAAGATCCCTCAGGGCGTAACTATAAATGAACCTAACTTTTAAAGGACGAAGTGTGACGGTTGTATTAACCGCAACGTCGTTTGCATTACGTATACATGGTGGCTGACCTCGATGATTGACGGCCAAGAGTTAGTCCATACAAGTTTTTTTGTCAGACAACGTGAGCAGGACTACTGTGACCCCAATTGCCTAATCGTGAAGTATTGGCTCCCATTTTATCTAGGGTTAAGCTAATTACATCCTGAGCGAACAACATCGCTGATTGAATTGGTCCCCTTTAGCGGAGGTTGTGCCTATTCCAGCCCCAGCTGTGTTCTTTATCCATGATTTGTTTCAATTATTGGACCGTTTTTCATCTATTGCCAATAGTGTACAATCAGCTCCAACTAACTGTACTCTTCAACTCTTTCTGGGGTTAGACATCCAGGCAGAACATTACTTGGTACACAATAAATCATGGATACATTCTCTCAGACATTTCAGATGGCATCCGCAAACTTTCATCAGTGATCGAGAAATGTGACTGACATGAAGAAAGATGGTGGATGCTTCTTAAAACGTTTGGCTCTTAAAATAGATTTTTTTCTGTTCTTTAGCAATTCTTTGAATGCTGACCGCTGCCACCCCCGTGTGCATACATTGTCAACGTTCCCGGCACCTGTGGGCATGTTATTGTAGACCCAAGCTTGTTAGTAGCTCCCAAAGCCCGATGATGTATTCTCCAGCGATTGCTTGAAGAAAGCTGCCGTAATTGGCACAGCTGTTGTACGATCGGATAGAAGCCAGTTTCTGCGGTGACCTATATGGCCGCACCGATATTTGCATGGCATGTTTTGCACTCATCCTTATGGAGTCTTCCTTTTAAGTCTGTAATTTTTCATCTACGCCCTACCCTTACCCAGATGTTCACTTTGATCTCAGTAGGCTAGATGGTTATGTGACAAATGTGATGAAGAAAGGGCGACTTTGAATACACCCCCACGGTGTATATGCATGATACATGGTTGATCAGAGTTTTACCGGTTAACACGAGAGAAGGGATATTGCGTGCTATCCATCCTCATAGCCTTTTCTAAAACAACATACGCGCGTTTATTTTTACGTTAAATCTTTTGAGAGTTATAACATTTTCATTTTGTAAAGAAGTTTGAGCCCCAGACTGGAACGTGTCTTATATTTTACCAACACCTACCACATACAAAATCTCATAAATGGCAAAGATCTATTCACAATTGGAGTTATGCTGCCCACCCGCAAACACACAAACTTAGAAAACGATACCTGTAACACATTTCCTTAGGACGGCGTTGATGAATGACCAAGGTGAAGCAGAGTCGTACTGTGTTTATACATTCAGACAGTTCTGTTTGTCACGCCAAGTTCGAATTCGCTTGATGTGCCAAATGGATGGAGGACGTATTGCAAAGGTCTATCCGAATTTACTGCATTCTACATCATCCGGAGTACAGCAAAGTTTCCTGGGAACTTTAACTTTTGTTCTGATAGGTACATCCTTCACCGGCGGTTCTCTGTGCTTCGGTTTGGACTTGTTTTGGGCCAGGATCATTTATCAGCCTTCAAACATTGTCACTTCTCTTTCATTTGGCGAACTGCCTTCGACTCCTGGCAATAGGAACCGTCTGGAAGATTCATCGATGTATGTAAAATCTGTTCTCTTCTGCAAGAACTATTGTGACAAAGTTAATGAGTTTACTTTAGACTTGGCGGTACCGTACGGGATCTGGCAGTTGGCGCAGTGGATCGTTCATTAGGCCACAACAAGTAATATTCATGGATGACATCAGCGCGCATGACCTTCGCCAGATTTTGGAAAAGAAAACAACATAGGTTGTTTCCATCTGACGGTGTTGAACATGCCTTAAATATTCAAATATGTCATAAACGTCTATAGGTTCAGAGACAATATGGGATCCAGCACTTGAGGCACAATTTCTCGCGGATGATGGCAAGTGTTGGCAGTATAAGGTTTTCCATCTCATATGAGCACGCAATGTAGTAGCTGCCCATGTCGGTACGGCAAACTCTTTTCTACAATGGTTCTGGTTAATTGAGATGTGAAGATGTCTACAAAGACAGATAATACTGTTGAATACAGGACCTGTTGGTTGTGATGTCAGGTTAGGCTGCCTCAATTTTCGTTCAACAACTTGAAGGTTTATGATGTCAAAATGCGAAAATGTAGGAATCTTGTTTTTCTGGCCCGCCTTGTTTTTTTCGGCATACCGCATTAGATTTGGAGTCTGCGGAGGATGTCATCCATAAAATGTACTTGCTGTGGCCTAATATGCAAAATCACGTACGTGCGTCTATTTGGGGCGGGCTAATTGCCTGTTGTCCGCCGAGTATACTGTCATGACACTGTTCAGTGATTGCAACGCGTGAAGTGTTCCAATGAATCGATGTTTTCGACCGATGCCAGAAGATACAAGCCTTCTTGAAGAATTCACAGTCAGTTTTACGAGCGACCAGAATGTCAAAGTGATGTTCCACGAGAGAGAGTATTGGTTATGGACGGACGGGTGTGAATTGGAAATGTGTTGGCGTTTGCTTTGACCGTAGCTCGCTCTGTATCTATATCGTCTTCACGACTGTCAGGATAAAAGAACACTAAGATTACAAACATAAATATGTACCAGACGAATGGTTAATGAATTGTAGTCGGTGCTTTTACAGTTAACGTCTTTTCTCCAATAGCCAATCAGCCTCTATCGGCGTCACGCTACGCTTACGGTTGATTTGTGTTTCCCGCCCGCCTGGGGTAAGCTAGCTATCGAGTCTGTCACCACGTCCATTCACACCTCTACGCCGTCCGTCTGCCGTTTCCGGGCGGGTACGAGCCGTGTATCGCGTGGCAACCGTAGACTGACGCTGGTTGGCTCATCTTACGAGGCCATCCATTTGTGGACTCGACGGCAGGACGTGGTGAAGGAAGTGCTTCACTCCTCACGAGAGGAAGCCGGCGTGTAGCGGCGTTACGCACGGCAATATTTCAGCTGGTTTAGAGTAGGTCCTGGTAATTAACAAGCCTGAGGAGTGTCTTCGTGAAATGAGCATGCGGTCTCCAACGGCCACGTCGCCAACATAAAAAGCTGTGACGACATTTGTCTTCTGGCTCACCATTCGGGAGGTTTGGTTTATCCAGACATGACCATAGCTTTTCTATTCTTATGCTGTTGAGAGCTCTCTCTTGCTGTCTTCTGCCTTGGCGGATACAAGAAGTAGTGTTTACACCTTGTGCAGTCAACTCGTGCTCCGGTTGTTTAGGGATTTAGTTCGCATATTGCTCTTGGTCAACATGAATCGCTTCCAAAATGCCGTCGGCAACCTCTCCACAAGGATTCGACGACTGAAGAGATCGGGCATGTAGGTTGTATACCCTTGTTGCTGTGATTGTTGTTTTTGTGTCTCATTTTGAGCGGTGTAGACTAAAGCACACTTTGTCAACCAACAGGTGCAGCACTATGAACGTACGACTATGCGACGGTAACTACTGTTTCAATCAACAGGTTTCGTGGTGGTAAAATGCAATATTCATTTATGATATATGGAAATAAGCTTCAAGTCGTTTTCACAATGACACACAGCTGTGTTGTATGATAACTCATTGCAATATTGTGTATACTTTGTTTGTGATATCTTATTCATTATAATTTTAATGTATAAAGTTACTTTGCAATTCAAGCCATGATGACCTATATACACATATTGATTGCAATTGTAGGACGTTTCCACAGCTGTAGATGTAGGAACCAGAATGTTGTTATACACATGTTGCTACCTGCCTGTTGAATTTACTGTGTATTACAATAAACAACAACGAGCAATGGTCGACAGAATTTCCTTGTTTGTATGTACCTCCATGGTTTTGTGTAGACAGAATTTCGTCCACAAATGACTCGCCCTATTTCCACTTGCAGCCATGTCGAAAGGAACGCTCGTTACCGAGGCTAGACAGGGACTTTACGATGCGATAACGGAAATTGCTTGGGATGAAGGTACTCTTATCCTGAAAGGCATCTAAGACACGTCTCTCATTTTCTTTTTCCTTTACGTCGTAGGTACTCACTGCCAGAAGAAGGCGACCCCACGCTAGATCCTGACACGCAGAGAAGTCTTTCACTAGGTGAGTCCACAGAAAACCCATGAAATTCTAGCTATCAACGTCATAGGTGTAGACGTCGCCATGTTGGCGTCCCTATTTGCATTTTAGTGTTTTCAGACATTCTAAGACCTGCTGACTTTCTCAATGACCACAAGAGATCAAAGAAGATAATACCAGAAGAGTACCCAAAATTCCCGATAAATATAAAGATGCTGAGTACCATTGAGTTATGGTTCAGTAAGATGCAAATATGGACACCAACATGGCGGCCTGCTTCCTTTGTATGAAAGGTATGTTATAGTTACGAGTTGATGACAATGATGTAAATCAAACATGTACAGCATGACGTCGATTTAACAAATTCTCCACTCTGACATAATGACAGGAAATCCCACATGTTGTAATGCCATTATGTTGGGAAGTATTCCATCACTATGCAGGCGGCGGATTTAATTATGGACTCCAAACAATCTGCCTTGATTACTGCTGGAAAATAAACAATTATGCTCTTAGCATTCTGTGGATAATAAGACAAATTGTTTCCATATCAGTCTCCATGGTTATGATTATTATTGTAAAAAGTAATGAATATATTGTGATGCATCCTTTGCAAGTTTCTCTTCCGTACCCGTCGAGACCTTCTCATAATGTGCTGTGACTTTGGAATTGCTATTATATAATGCTATATTGATGTTATCTCCAACAGTACAAAGAATTTATGACATTAAATCGCTTACATGACATTTTTCTGATGAAATATTTTGAAAATGAAAAGAAATGAATCACCAGAAAGCATATACAATCAGTCGGTAATTTTGTTTTCTTGTCGTATATGCTAGCGAATTAATATTGCAGTCTAGTTCAAGTTTATCAGTTTGATTTGCTTAAAATTCCTTCAAAAGATAACGAACTACGTGTAGCTAAGATGAAAGCATGATACAAAATTGAAATCAGCAGCAGTATAAAATGGTTCTAATGTTTATTTCTTTATATGTCAAGACATCTTTGATAGTTGTATTCTGTAGTTTTTCCCAAGGGGATAATGAGAAATAGCACTTATTCATTCCCTTTGTCCCTAATAGAATAGAATTGTTCGTACCAATTAGACTAGCACGTCTCACAATTGATCGCTCCTGTAACTTGGTACCTTGCCTTATTACTCTCAGCTGTTAGCAGACAGCTTATAATAAGCTGGATAATGGTAAAATCATGTTGGCAGACTCTTATCTATCGAACAGCAGTCTGAAAGAGACTTTTGTCCAGACGCCGAAGAACGATAATGTGATTATGTCTGTGCCTTCCGCTATTGGTCTGTTGAAGTCTGTTGTGTGAGCGTGTTTGGAATAATATATTACAAAACGACCTTGACCTAATCGTTTCTATCTGCCTCACTATTCTATGTACTATCAATTGCCCCCCCCCCCAAACCGTTTGATTAGTGAGATTTCTATCAACATCTTTTTGTAAATAATTAGATTTTGTAGCGTTTGCATCATGTATTTGGTATGTATTATCAGTCACATGCATAATCATGTTACCGAATTTTTTGACAGGCTATAGAGATTATTACTGTGATAACTTTATCGCATTTTCAACCCAGCAAAACCAAACAATTAAGATGTGGCTTTACACAAAACTTTGCAAAAATTTAGTCCAACGATGTGACACGATGCGATTTACAGTAACCTTTAAATCTGGGTTTGATTCCGAATTTGTGTGGAGTCGAGTCCTGACATGCCGACCGGAACCAAGAGGTCTTGGGTTCGAGTCATGACATGCCTCCGATCTTGTGCCCTTGGGAAAGGCACTTAACACGACTTTCCTCACTTCACTCAAGTGAAAATGAGTATTGCTCATGTATTTGTCCATGCGTTGGCGGTGGCAAAAAAGCTGTCATAACTTCAGTGTGCAGTCACAATGTCTAGTCATGAAATGTTGGAATAGAAAAAAAGAATCCCGAGACTACGAACAAGACCCGATGTTGTGCCCTCGGGAAGGCATCTTCTCACTTCACTCAGGTGAAAATTAAGTACTTATTAGCTTTGACTGGATATGTCCTTAACAAGAACTTAAACCCACTACAGTTACCAGTAGCTAGATTAGGTAGAGTAGAGGTCCTTCCTGATGTGATCTAAGACATTATAGTCTGCTCTCCGGGGTGACAACTTGTAAAAGTAATAGTGATCTGATACTTTAACCCTTCCACAAGTCTCAACAGATAGATAAATAACGTTGATAAAAAGGAGCAAGATCATGTACATCATCTTACAGTACATATGAAATTTTGCCCTTCAATCTATTGCCTTTGCTGATAAAAGTATTGCTCCTTTTGGACCAACTGCCTCGCCTCCAGTTTGACATTTTTCATTCTGAGAGGGAAAACTTAATATTCTACTTACCCATTACTGGGTGAGGAAAGGCGTCGATGGATTTGAAATTCAATTCCGAATAGCTTAAAGTATTACACGTCAGGTAGAATGGAGTTGCAATCTTTAATACTTAACGTGCGTGTGTTGTAGACAAGGTGCAGATGGTAGGATTCGATCTATATATTACTGGAACGTATCCAAGTGGTTCAAAATACCTTGGCAGTGGGCTTTACTGATTTGAACTTTTGTTTTATCACCAGTATTCAAGGGTAAATGGGTACAGGGGATTCGCCTTTCTGGCTCTTGAGATCGTCACAGGCACGATGGTGTTAATCATAAAGGCAATATTTCATTTTAATTTTGGCTATCGTGACATATTTATTATATTTTTTTATTTTCGGAGCACACCCCAATATAGAACAAAAAGAGAAATTGTAGAATTGACACTTTTGTAAGATTAAATAACCCTTTTGAAACAACGAATAGTATTACTATTTGTATTACCTGCAAAAGCGGACTGACCTCTTTTATGATATACATACAAAAACTGTTGATTAATATAGGTCTCTTCAGTTATGTTGAGACAAATAATAAAACTGTATTTCAAATTTTACCAGAAATGTTGACCTGTGTCGACTCAACCTTGAAGTTGGTTCTTATTTGAGGGAAATTGCATAGAAGGTAATATGTCTGCGTAGGGCGTTGAATCGTGGGAGGGGGGTATGAGGACTCAATGTAATCATCACCCATGATGTACTCTATTACTCCTGCTGGGCTAAACTTACTTTTCTATCAAGATGTTATATGACGAACGCTGTGGTAACATATGATTCACCATGTTAGCCATGTTCTTCAAATACTTTGGTTACAGCCATCATACATAAAGATCTATTGAGTGTCATTCCCGTTATGAGCTGTTAGATCAATATGTGAATAGGTATGCTAAAAGCTTCAATACATCAACATCCAGTAAAACTAAGAATTATTGTTGAGATCGCAAACACCTACTTTGGACAAAGCTCCGGATTGCCATGATTGTATACTTGTATGAAGTAAAGCATTTGATAAGTTTGACCGCTCTGAATTGGCCCTTCCGAGGTCAATAAAGAAAATAGTCCCTATTAATCAACGAGTAGTAAAGCGGTCGATCTGCGTCGCAGGGTTACATGATAAACGTCTCTTTGTTCAGTGGAAGGGTGCATGCATTTCAGATGGAGCTTGATTGATTTGATAGAACGGGGGCAAAAATTGGGTCGTAATTTTGGTATGGTAGGGTTGGTCTTGATTACAATGGAGTCAAACTAACTGCGTTCCAATTTTATCACCGTCAAAAACAAAATATGTGTAACTAGTTACTGTATTAATTTATTATCATACTTTATCCAACCAATGGAACAATAACTATCTCATAACATTTAACTGACATCCATTGATTTAAGGTCCTATTGCTTGATCGAAAAGGTTTGAATATATGTAACAAAATTAAGGAATTTGTTATTCATGGCAATTTCCCCTCAAAATTTGTTCTCGAGAACATTTTCAGTTTAAGTGCCTGAATTTTATTCTAGGGTCTTTAAACTTAGCTGCTCTGTAAGCTGCAGTGATTTTAGCACCATCGGCAAGTTTACGACCCAATGCTCGTAGGGTCAAATATATTCGCAGATAGCAGTAACAGCAAAGCCAGAAATAGCGCCAACATTGTCACTTTCGTTCCAATGAATCGTAAAGTACCACTCAAATCAACAATGATAGACCGGATAAAAGCCGAGAAATTGGTTTCGTTGTGTGCTGTATTGCTTTTACAGTTATATATAAAGTTATCGAATTTTATAACCGTACGGCTATGACCCGTAAAATGCCATTCGTAAAATTGCCGTTCAACTTTATATGAGAACTATATCGGCATTGATGTAGGTCAAAGAAAAGTAATTTTAGAGGGCATTTGGTGAGGGTATTTATTTTGCTGTTACCCTGCTCTCTATTCATGTGCAATTCTCCAGGGTTATTTGGTTATTTGACCCACTCGTTTCAAGGTCAAAGTCAAACCTCGATAAATGCAGCAGCACTGAATGCATATTCCTATGTGGTATTTACATGCAATCAGTACGGCTTCGTATGTCTGTCAAAATACTTTAGAAAAGTAAAACATTATAGATCAAAGCAATAGATAAGTATTGATCCTTCAAATTTTGCTTTGTATGCGTGAGTCAGTCTAAGGTAATGATAACTTGGAAAGCACTAGTTGGGAGTCCTTCCCAAAGCAATTCTACGCTACATTAGGTTAAAACCCTGCCTCCTCCAGGAAGTCTTTTAAGGACGTCATTACTTCAAGTTCAGCGAGTTTTGTAGATCGTCCTTTGGATGCTCCTGGAATACAAAACCGCTGTCTACTATTGATGCATTCTCAGCTGCGAGTACAATTTTACTTCATGTTTCCGAAAATAGTTTAATTAGGTTGGTAAAGTTAAAGTATAGGATACAGGATTTTTATTTTACACAACCAAAATTTCTCACCTAAGTGCTGACGTTTCGGTGTCTGTCAGACACCATCCCCAGAACTTCTGACTGTATCCTTTAGTTTTTGTTCTTTGTCCGCAGATGCAAAGTTCCATTCACTTTCTGTTTCTGAAGAAGAGTTTGATGATGCGAGGATACGGAGGAGAGAGAAACGAGCAGCAGACAAGTGAGTAACAGTCCTCTTTTTTAAAACCGATTTTTAACTATTTCATTTCATTCCCCTTTGTTTGTCAAGGATCAGGTAAATAGCAAAATCGATTAAAGAGGCCCTTGACCTCTATAAAAACACATACGACTCAAGATACAAAAATAACTAAAGAACTCATTAAATAAGAGTACATGGGTTGAACGTTTAAAACAAATATGACCAGAAAGTGATATTTGGCAATGTATACCAAGAAGTCCAAACGCAGTTAACCAAATACTAGTACATTTTTTGGAAACTTTTGCTGTGAAGAGTTTAGAAGCTCAGTGTCAGGGCTCCCGTAGGATCTCGTCGACAGCTTCAGACATGGCCGTGATTTTCAATGACATACCTGATAAGCAGGGATGTTCGGATGGATTTCTTATCGGAATTCGGTGACATCCAATCAACCACATGTCATGGTCTAATTACCCTATCTGACATGCGGTCATATCTGTGCTGTCAAAATTGGCATATTCAAACTAAACTGACGTGTGAACGCAGATGAAAAGATGATTCAGTGTGTCGATGCTAACTACGATAAGCCCATCACCCTGTCGTGGTCGCGAAAGGGATGTAAGATATGTCGTGCTAGCGTTCCTACGTGTATTCGCCCGTCTCAAATGATTACGATGCTGTTTAAGTTTGTAGGTTTGCACTAGGAATGTGTAATTCGATGACACACTTGGAAAAACGTTCTCTTTCCACAGCTGTACTGTTAGCACTATCACGGTCGGTATCCTTACTTTAGGTACTAGGTAAGACATACATATGAAAAAAACTATCAATACTCGCGATAATGATAACTGCCTTACTTATGTTTTCATCTTCAACTTTGTCAATATATTTCCATGCTTTATTTAGTGCAATGAAAAGCTATTCATGAAGTTCAAAAGTCAATTTAAGTCTGATTTTTTCACTACGATATTCGATGATTGCTGTATGCACAGAGACGTGTAAATTGATTAAGACTCAAAGAAAATGTCATCAAAACAGTTCTCCCGCGGTGCATGTACACGTTTGTGACTTCTCTCTTCTAAATGCCATGCATGAATCTAACGCCTAACCAACGACATCGTATGAAGCAATGTAACGTCTTCAGCTTTTACAATCTTCCTCGTTTTTCATACATATAAAAACTTTTAGTCATAACCATGCACATCTATGACTTATGTACATTCCATAATAGACAATGACCCCTCTTTAGAGCAGGCCGCGCAGGTACTGACACGTCAGTCTACTAAAAGGGGTTATGTAAAGGATAAGGCAGCTTACTATATTGGTCATGCCCGTAAATATTAAATTATTCCCATGTGTACATTTTTACACGTCAGGTCAGTTTATCACCGAAGTCTCTTGCGTCTTCTGGAGCGTTGCTTGTGAGGTTTTACTCAAATCTGCACGATCTTTTCAGCAATAATTCATCTTAATAACGAATGTACTATTTTTAGACTATCGCTCCAAGTATTTCCATAATTTATAATTACGCTGAAAAGCTTATGAAATATCCCAACATGAGGATTACATTTGTGATGGAAAATACATTAAGAACGTTACCAGTGTGTATCTTATTGTTGGCATTTCTTAGGAGACATATTATACGTCCATAGATTGCTTGTCATAATGATGTATGGTATCATTAATTTCATCTACATTGTGAATACTAAATCTTGATGGGATAACGACTGAACGATTTGTAACAATGGTCCTGCACAATACATCTTCTGTTAATATGTTTTTGCAATTTATTGCAGTGACCGTCTTTGGACTCATTTGCTTCGAGATTAACGTAACTGTATGTGCTTTAGCCAAATCTGAATAAATTCCAGTAATTTCGACTTTTGTAAAAGAAAACAAGAATATACCACCACAAAACACATACCTAGAGTTGAGTCTAGAACCTTAGAAAAATATTGGTCGATTTCAAGCTCCAAGCTCATCCCAAGATCTGACAGAAGTCATACATAGCTGAAGTCCATACGTGACCTTGAGGTTTGCTACTAATGAACAGGGACGATCAATAGCTATAGAACTACAGCTTTCAGTTCCAGTGATATTAGTATTCGTCACCAAGCGTCGCGCTCTATCACAGTGTCTCAGTCGCCCGCTAAGTCCCCATGATTTATTGTAAGTGCAGACCAAAATCAATTTTCTCATATACCCTTTGTGTGATTAGATCTAAATACCAAGAATGAATTACCTTACTTTACAGCAGTAAACGTACCTCATGAGAAAATGTAAATCCGAATGAATTCCTCACGATATGACGCATATATCATAAAAGTAGGAAAGGAATAGCGCTGGCCTATCTGGAAAAGTAGGTAATGGTAACAGCAATTAATCACCTTGTTAAAGTTGGTGCGCTTCATCTTGTCATTTCTTATTAAATTTTTTGCACTTCGTGGGGCAAGGGATGGTCTCTTCAATAACAGGCGGGCAGAAATATTACCAAGGGCGTATAGACTAACTGAGGTCCCATAACTCCTGCTATTTGTTGACGTTTCTTCTATAACACGCTTCTTGGGTTTTCTTCGCCTTTCATGATACACGAACCGTAGAAAAATGCTGCTGTCATCTCAAGAGTTTACAGCAGTCCATCTTTTTTACCAAATGACCTCTTAGAGGGTTAACGACCTAGAACAGCTTTGCTGGAAGACGACAAGGACGGTCGGGAACATCCCGCAGTGCAGGCGCAGAGGATGGTTAGGGAATACTGATTTTTCTGTCTGTCTGAGATAGGCGCCAGCTTTAGTTCGTAATCGTTTCCAAGCTTGGATCATGTGGGATGTCAAGTTCGCTTTCGTGACATCAAAGTCGTCTGATGCCACAAGATGGATGAACCCCATCCCAACAACAAGGAGTCTATAATTGCATCTTTTCACTCTAAGACTTTTCATTTCGTCGAACGGGCAAAAGGTTCCAACGCCCACGTTTCGTCCGGTGTAGACGCTTTTGGAATGCGTGGGTGGCTGTTTCCCCTAAAATAGCCCCATTTCGCCAACGGTAGTGTGACGTGCGTCAGAGAAAATGTTGGTAGAAACATGAGACGTGTTGCTGAACTGCAACGTTGTCTATCTGCAGCTGAACGTACATTACCTTTACACCCATATTATTACTGTGGCTCTAAAAAGGCTACTTCCTTTGCCATCTAGACGAAATGAAATACCAAATGAAGCAGAGTACTAAAATCGGTGTAATTTGAACCATTTGAAGTATCATAGCAAGCTAGTTAAACATCTTCTGACTATGCTATTGTATGTTCTAGCTCTTGTGTAAGGATTCTGTCCTGTAAATGTCAATTTGCAGGCAAAATATTGATTCAGTTTCTTCAGTACAATTTAGTTAAAATCTTTCACAGCAGTTAGCATATAGGGCAGTGTCTAAGGCCATTTGTAGACCTTGTGCCACACAGCTGTACAAGCGCATTAGAATGAAATACGCCGTGGAGAATCTCATATTTGTGAACACTCTACTCACACATAACTGTGACATAGCTGCACTGCATGTTACAATAAGTAACCAAGCATGTCACTCTCATAATCCCTTCGTAATGAGGTTTAGATTTGCGTAATCTCTGGAGGTAAATCCCATAAAATCCTGGTTAATGAGTCACCTCAGAGTAAGACTGGTTTTATCCTTAAGTACGTACCTCAAAGTTCTCTGGGAGTATCGTCTCACATACGTAATTAGTGTCTTTTATCATCTTGTTGTTGATGACTTTTTTCTTGATGTTTATAGCACATCCATTTTCGTAAACTGGTAATGGTTGATAACCCCAGGTGGTGGCGAGACGTTGCCCATGTGTCGCCGTCTCGTTTTAAAAGCATTACTAAGTCCCGGACGCCATTGCGGTCGCACTTATCTACGTCAACGTCCAATTACGAGCCGGCTGAAAGAACCACCGATGGGACGTCAAATGACGTACTTCCGTATCTCTATGGTGACCTGGGCCCTAGAGGAAGAAGCTACGGCGCTGTCATTTAGAGATAATGCGTTATGATGGTCATACATACGTTTTCAGAGAGATAAGCGGTAGTTTCTTATGTAGTTCAAATGGTGAGTGCGTGATCTGATCTTGAAAAAGCAATAGTAATACGCATATGCACGGAAAAAATATAATCCGAATCGTATTATTTGGTATAGACATAAATGCAATGTTTAATGTTGTATATTCAAGCTTATCATCTTTTTCAAACGTTTTTTTGATTAAGTGGCAGATTCCATCGCATTGACGAGGATGACGAATTGGGGTAAACAATTGTTACAATTTTAACATTATTTTGATAGATATTATCAACTCGTTTTCTGTTATTTTTTGTTCTTACATTGCGTTATCATATGTTAAAGCCGAGATATATCATCGGGGAACATGTACTAATGGTGTCATTTTATCAGGGGACTGAAGCGACAAGCTCGACAGGAGTCCATGGGGGGTCTCGCCGACGACGACTTCTCCCCAACCTCCTCCCCCTTCGGGTCCACCGACTCCGTGGAAGGTGTCAGATTCGTGAGTACGCCCGCGCTAACAGCCATCTACGGGGGCTGATCATAAAGGATTCTGCCTGACCCACTTCTAGCACTCTTTCATACCAGCCTATCCCCCACGCCTTCCGCCTAGGATCTGTTAGCCAATCAGATGCTCCTGCTTTGTGAGCTCCTGAGGCAAAGTTAATTTATCAATTCAGCAAAGTTACCAGCCAATCACGTTGCAGCTTGACCGTAAGCGGTGACGTGATTGGCTGGCAACTTTCGTTCCAACAACGGGAGGAGAAGCATCCTATCAACGCTGCGAGAAAGACGGATCGCAGGCCAGGGCATCAGGACCGTTGCTTGAGACACACAAGCGACGGGCCTAGTATGAGAGGGTGACTGAAATTACATTGTAGGTCGTGTTTCAAGTTGAAGGACTTAACTCCAAATATATGACCTCATCATCCCAAGTTACTCCACTTGAGACCATTTAGAAGAGACGTTCAGATTTCAGACCTGCAATTTCGCACACGGTCTACAATACAAAGATGTGTAATATTATACACGTGTAATTTCAACATTCCAAATATAGCAGAGAGTCGGTCAGGTAGAACCTGCAGTGAACAGCCCTAATAGCTACTCAGATTCGTGAGACAAGATTGTCGTCTGATTTTCTGTACACCCTTGCTTGCAATGTTATAACATGTGTCAGTCACGGTACACGGTAGGATCAGTGAAGCCATAGAAACGAAGCTGCATTGTAGTTACATATTCGTGACGTCATCGATCAATCAGGTGAAGTCATGACGTCATTAGAACAAGGCTTGATCTACCAATCGATATGAGAGATGATGTATACTCATCGTTCTGACCCTTGAGCGTTTCAGCAACGGCTGACTTTTCCATTACGGCCGCCTGGAATTGTTTACGGACGACTCATTTTACGTCGATACTCTTGGCTTAAAGGATTTGGGAACCTATTTGAGCGTCCATTTATCTAAGTATTCTGTAACACGGTTAAACTTTACATTCCAACACCATGAGAAAATTGAGAAAATGTGTCTTACGTAGACCCATTCTGTCGACTAAAAGGAACCAGTATTTGTTAAGGATCCACATTTTTGTATAGTGCATGCCACTCTGTGAGCAGTGGATCAAAAGGTCCAGAAAGTTTATAGCGCCCCCCGTCTCCATTACTTTCAATAGATACTGAAACGTCCCATTTTCCTTGATGTTAGTCCTGTTACAGAATAAATTCTACCTACACGGGTGTCCTTTCAAGCTGATATTCAAACGATACCATCCTGGTAGCCTCTGGCGACTAGATTCCTGAGATAGAGCACTTTAGACCATCTAAGAATGAATCATCATTTACAACGCTATTCAGGTGTTAGGAAGGTTGGTTAAGGTCACCCAGGGCGCTATTGAAGAAACGAGCCACGTTAATCTATGCGTAGGTGTTGATAATGAAAGCCTAGTCCCGGGAAGTAGATTCTTTGTCAGATTGGCACCCCTGATGACCGTGTGGTAATGTTAATGGTGATCGCTTTCTTTAAGTTCGCCGTAATAGATCTGCAGACATCGGATGTGGTGCCCGGAACGGCTGAAGTATAATGGTTATCCCATTCTTTCTTGTATCGCCGTAATAGCCCAGCCGGGTTTAAGATGTAGTGAGTGGTGGTAACGGTTGAAGTACATGAATCAGATAGTGGCAAGAGAAACTGCCATGCTTTAATCGCACGCATTACAAAGGGCAAGTGTTACATTTCAAAAGAAAAAAAGTTTCAACAACTACGCCTTGATTTCACCAGTATGAAATACAACGACGAAGATCTAACATACTTCTTGTATTACTATAATCACCGTATTCCATGTTCTTACCTCGTTTTATTTCTTATATAAAGGAGGAGGTGACGAGACCTGTGCGGAGGAGGTCATCAGCAACAGGAGGAGGCAAGATTTTCGTCTTCTGTCTGTTGTATGCGTACTTCAATAATGATTTCATTACGGAATGACTTAAAATGTCTGTATAGAACTGATAGCTTCAGTAATCAAAAAAAATAAACTAGAAAGGTAACATTTGCAAGGCAAATGCATGATGTCTACCTTCGCATATGGTCTGCTCTGTAAATTCTTACTCAAACACATTCATACATATGGTCAGACAGGAGTCTAAATCCCTCCTGCTATAAAATTGCAACATGATGTAACCCAACTCTAGTTACCATGGTAACAGCATTGGTTCGGGTCATTGAGGTCACTGTTTGGTTCCGAGTTCAACGCTCTAACCGTTGCGCCACGACGCCACGGTTTTGCTCGAACATGTTTGATAACAGATGCGATGGTTTATACCAAGTACAGGTTCTCTGCGCCGCTGGAGCTCGGAGAAATCCAGGAGAAGGTCCAGCACTGTGTCGGACGTTCCGGAAGAGAATTCCGCAAATGGAAGACGAATGACGCGCCGCCGATCCATGGCGGCCAGAGCCACCATAGACCTAGGGGTGCGTACTGGGCGGTTTGTTGTTACATTAGTGCTAGTAGATCCGAGTACATGGAAAGAAGGACATTAAGCCATTGAACATAAGTTAGAAAAGGGCTTTGAGAAACTCTGTAAACTTTTTCGTCTATGATGCCTCACGTAACGGCTGTTCAATAACATTACCAGCTCAAATGTATTTCTTTTTCGGTAGAAGCAAAATACATACTGGGTGTTGATCTACATACATGCTTCCCTCTCCACTGCTACTCCACCAAATACAACCTGACAGGGTTTCCGTAGTCCTGCTATCTTCCTCATACATGTGGCTGGATCTAAGTGGCACTACAGAGAAAAGGATGCGGTCCCAAACGTGGCAAAGCTTGTATCCCCCCTCTTCACGGTATATGAAAATACAACCTAGTATTAAAGCCACATTTGAGACCATAGTCTTCTCGACCAATCACATGATCCAATCACAATCAACCAATCACATGGTTTTTGTTTTATTTCCTTACAAGGCTAAGGAAGACGTGAGCGAGGTGATGTTCTCTATGGGATACCACCCCAACGCCGGTCAACTCACGGTCACCATCATCAAGGCACGAAATCTCGCGAGAGTTGGGTCAGAAAATCCTCCAGGTGATTATATATGGAACATACCACGATATTTTACTTGTGTTTCTCGTAAAAATGATTTAAACTATTTTACGAGTAAAAAATGAGATTGGAATACGGGAAACTTTTCTAGTTAATCACCAGATTTACAGCAAACTATTTGATGCAGATTCTTAACGATTGTTGAGCAACTCCAGCGTCACGCTGCTGGCTTTATACTTACAAACTACTTTCAAAAACATCTCCTTCCCCCCATCAGAGGGCAGTTACGCCAGGCTCCCAGTAGATTACTTCTCCTATCAGTCCGTCACAGTCTGGTTGGGAGGTCCACATGTACGCCTCCTGACCACAGAGGAGTAATAACATATCCTGCAAGCTTCCCCTTCATCGCGTTTGGGAGTGTATCAGGTCAAGAAGAGATAAGACCTAGTCCATTTGTCTGCACTCCTCAGCGGTGCAGTACACATGTGCGAGTACGTGCGGGGAATTCAGAAGAGCCGCCTAGCGCGCCAGACGGTGCATCTCCGCGGGATTTGTAGATCCAGAGCGCCCTAACCCCTTAAAAGGCTGTAAGTGCGTGAGTAAGTTGTGAGAGAGCTGGAAGGCCTACTGTTAAATCGCCAACAAAGCTACTGGTCTGACTCGGAATTAAAGTCGATGCGCGTTTGAAATATTGTCTGGTTAGGAATGTAATTCTATTTCTTCTTCAAAAGCTAATATCAGTATGTAAGAATAACTAACTAACAAATGAAGCGTGTAGGTACAGAAGGGGAACGATATAGTATTACTTTGTAGGGTATAAACAGCTTTTCAAACGCTTATGAAAAGTTTGGAGCAAACATTGGTCGTAGATGCCTATAGCTGATAACACAACAGATCATGCAATATATATCTATCCATCTAAACTTCTCATAGTAAACACTCAGTCAGTAGTCTGAAATTAGATGTATTCTTTATTAATTGATAAGCTGCAGGCTTCGTTTGTTCGCGAATGGAAGCACATCAGTCATAACGTTTTGGCCTTGAACGTGGCATACATCTGTATCCTTCAACACACAGGCGCCACGGTATCGATCTCTGGTCTAATGCGTCCCAAATTGCCACTCAACTTGACCGAGATAACCCGCCATTTGTTGGGGGATGTAATGACTGCGTTTAACTTGGCAATGGACTTGGACCTGGGTTGTATGCTGAAAATAGCGTCGTTACGTAGTATAGGTCATGTTGTCCAACACGACGCAGTAAGTCCCTGATTTGTGTGGTGTGGGACCCACGAATCGTCAATGTTCTAAAGAATACGTGTATGTCTTCCTTCTATATCTATACAAAACAATCTGGTCATCAGTCTCTGATCCCAGGGCTACAGACTGGTTCCCTCGGCACTGCAAGCTTCTATCCCCGCCTGGCCAACTAAGGGGGCCTGGGGGAAAGTTTCCCCGGGAGTTTAGTTTTGAAAAGTTGGTCCCGAAGACTTTGCCAGTGAAGGCCCTGGCAACAGTCTGGATATACCAGGCTATATGAAGGAAAGAACAACAGTTTTAATACAACGCTTTCATCTTAAATGGAAGCAAGCTTTTCTAGCTGTTAGGAAGGCTAAAAATCATTAATATCCATATCATAATCGTAACCATGCAATATTGAGCGAAACAAAGAAACACATCTATGTTGACTATGGAATTCCCCAATTATACTTTTCCAGGAGATTGCAAACTTTTTTTGCCAGAATACAGGATATGTTCTACAAGTCAGAGAAGATAATCTACATTGTTATTAATACAAGAAGAAGTGAATTGGTGCAATTCACTGGGGACCAAACTTCGTTGAAGCAATGAAATTACTGCAAATTGATTTTTGCCAAATGGATTCGGTACGGTGATTGCTGAAGACGAGGGACTTAGACTTCTTGTCAAAGTTCATTTCACTTCATCAAGAGAAGGTGTTGAAGTGTCTAATAGGATTGCAAAAAGGGAGCAAGAAACGGAACAAAATTGTACAAAGGGGTTTTAAGGTACTAATTGTAAAATCAAAACGATATTCCAAGTCCATTTTCTGGTCGCCTTTTTATCATGTGTTGAGTTGGGACTCGTCATGTAGTTTTTTTCTGAACACTCCAAGAAACATTTTAAGTTGGATCCCCACTGGGCCACGGTTTGTTGCATTCGTCCCTTCGGATGGGGACGTAAAATCCAGCGCTTTACGTTTACGTTCCATACCCCGATGGCAAGATGTGTTCAGATTCTGGTACATGGAGGTTCAGGCCAGAACTACTATTAAGCATAATGTACAGCACATTGTCGGGATTTGTGGACCGTGGTTGTAGTAAGTCACAAACGGGTCGGTTTGAAAACTGCGACCGCCACAGACCACAGCTGCTACCCGTTATTTCCAATTGATTCTCCATCCTTTTACTTAAACCTTTGTTTGAAATAATAGGTCTTACCCCGTCTTGACGCGATCAACCTGTCACAGTGTATAGAGCGGCCGTTCGATCATGTGAATGCGATATCGCACCGGCAGCCATTTGTTCGAATCTGGTTGAAAGCTATGACAAAAGCTGTCAAAATAGAATGCTGCAATCGGTGTTTTGTCATTACACTGTGGTTAGGTTAATATTATTTCCTACACGTTGTGAAACAAATAGATGTGAACGTTGGAATGGATCAGTTAGCGGAGCTTGAACCCCACTGTTACAGTTACACCAAAAATCAAGGACATTTTACTAGATGTCCTTGAAAAAATCAAAGAACCGTTGGTTAGTTCATACATGATTACAACAGACTCTAAGATAAGGAAGAATCTGCAGCTGCGCAATAAAGAAATCACTTTCCTCACAAGATTTTCCCGCCAATTTCAGACACGTACGTCAGAGTGGCGCTGATGTGTGAGAGCAGAAAGATCGGCAAGAAGAAGACTTCCGTCCAGAACGGCGCCCCGAACCCTACATTCAACGAGTCTTTCCATTTTGACGTGGCAGAAGACGACATGAAAGGAGTTTTCCTGTCACTGGTGGTGGAAGACTCCGGAGGGTGAGTAGACAGACGGTAGTCTGTAAAAGAAATCTCTAATGGCTCCTCTAATTTCACACTTGACCATTCGAACCCACTTGAGAATGATATGGCATGAGCTATAACAAGTTGTGGTGTTTTTTCGAAGTCATAAGTCACATTTATTACATCGTAATAATCATATCATCTTATATCATATTAAACCATACCAAGTCACATGCTGTAAAACTGACCTCTGACCTGGCCAATGACCCGATTTGTTGACGTCTCTCACCATGGTAACTCGTGTTGGGTTTCATAATGTTGCAATTTTATAGTAGGAGGGATTTATACTCCTATCTCATCATATGTATGAATGCATTTTTCAACACCACTTAATTTTACTGTGACTCACTCTCCCTCTATGTCCCCACAGACCCACGCTGGGTAAATGTGAGGTCGGCCCGTGGACGGACCAGTGGAACGAGATGATGGAGAAACCCCGGAAACCCGTCACCAGATGGTGTCAGCTGAAGGAAGTGACGTCAGACAGGCGGAGGAGCAGTGAAGACCAGGAGTAGCAGCTTTAAAAATACTACTATAAAAACGTGTACATCTTTTACATTGTCGTAACAGGTAATTTTCTATGGATCTCATTGCATACTGGGAGACGTGGAGCACTATGGGTAGTACTATTGCTTGCCATCTGCGCTCCCCATAATCCACATTGTCTCCCAGCATGCAGTGGGGTACGCGAAAAGGTCTATCTATGGTGCGACCTTTCATGACTCTTTAAAACCCGCCAAAATACTCGTCTTAATACAGGGGTATTGTTAATAGTTTCGCATATACAGTAAGATGGATGTAGATACGTATAGGTGTTGTCGTTTTATGAAGATTTTCCGTGTTCGCAAATGGTCTACAATTATAAACAGTGCCGTCCATAGACTTTCCGGCATACTATAAGTAGTACGAATTTAGACTACCTAAGTATCAAAGTGCCAAGACTAGATTGTTCAAAACTGTTATGTAGAGACCTTTTTACAAGAAAACGTGTTGAATAATTGATTACATTGTTCATAGATTTTTAAAAGCTTTCATGTAACGCCCAAAAAAGGTGTGCGAAGGTAAAAGAAAAAAGTGCATGGAAGCATCTGTAGGTTAGAATATACCATTTTTCAAGTAAGAGATGACTTGGAACCATGACAAAATGATACTTTGTAATATATTTATGGCTCCTGTAAAGTTTTTGTCAAAACTTATTATTCAGTCATCTAAATTGTAAAAAAAGGAGGAAAATATTCCTGGTTCTGTATTGAATACTGTTATTCTTCTTACAGTTGCTTATGGAGCAATGTTTAAAATTTCAATAAAATTAATGGAGAGTCACGTTTGACTAGATTTGTGTGTAGAGGACGTCAAGTTAACAATGCAATGACGCCATCTGGCCTGACTGATCATAACTGCACCCAAACTGGCATCAGTCATAACTCAGTATCTTGTACCCGGTAACACTAGCTACAAAACTAAGTATTCATACGTTTAAAACACTTTAAATCTATTCTCCTTTACTCTAAGGCCAGGAGCACCACAATGTTAATTTGTAACTCCATAGGGCAGCTCTAAAGATCTAGACGCATACAAACTTTCTGAACTTTTGAACGTTCTTTTGTATATATGTTAGACTATATAAACCAACAGCCAAACGTATATATGTATATGTATGTATCACTTGTTTTACAGTCAATAGCTTCAACAATAAACTATCTTTGTTTCAATGCGATATCATATAGGACATGTGTATAACGATGCTGCTATGTGATTGGTGGAATAGTGTGATGAAATCTGTACAATAGTCGTTTTTGGTGCCTTGGATATATCATAGGTTCCTACATCAATATATATCATATATCAATATATCAAACTTTTTTCTTAGATACTTCTCTTAGATGTAATGGCCGTGCAATGTTTTGCTTTGATCCAGTAGTCAGTGCCAGACTGAGTGCTGATAGTTCTAATGTGGTATTCCATTCTTCTAAATTATGCTCATTATCTCAATGTATCTTAATACTGACTATCTTTAGACTGTCTTGACCAGATGAACACAATACAAGATATTAGCTGGTTAAACATAGTTCCAATTCTATGTATATATATACAGGTATTATCTTTCTTGCTGCATTTACATCGCATCATATAAATTTTTTGTCATCGATTATCATGTCTGTCTCGTTTTGTTTTGTTTTGTTTGGAATGAGCATAGATCCTGGGGAAAGACTTCATTTCTTACTCAAAATATTCTATGGGGAAAATTCAGATCATTTGTTGCTTCACATGTTAGCAGCCACGCCCTCTAGCACAGATTACAATAACTGCAGCAGTACACCACTGGGTCCAATTTTGCGTGTCTACACATAAAATTTACAAGCGGATTTCGTCCCAATAATACCATAACAATCGACAAGAGATTGTATCTATAACAACATTTAGAAATAAATCGTTAAAAGGAGGAATATTAGTGCAAACGATGGCCATTTCAGACGGTGATCTAAGTCATATATCTTTTAAGATAAGACAAGGGATCTGCCGAGACCAATTTGGGAGATCCCAAACTTGGGCGGCAATAACATAACAGCATCAACGTATTGGATTTTGGACGGGACCATGCTATTAAGCTGTAATCTGTAACAAAAGACAGTTTAGGGCTTTAAGGTTAACATTAACACAGCAATAGGCATAGCCAGATATCGTATATCAAGAACAAGTAATTCAGCACCAAGGACAGACGTCAAGTTACACTACCAAGTCTTTTGTGGTGTAAAAGCAGGATCAAACTGTTTTATGACGCCTCTCATGTGAGAACTATATATGAATCATGTAGAAAAGTGCCCCATATTTACAAAAAGGGCTATTGAAACTCATTCACATTAGCCTGGTTACCAAACCTATTATAGCTCCCGAGTCCTACATAAATAGCGGAGAGGATGTAGGACTCGGGAGCTTTATTCACATTTACATAGCATTTTAAGAACACGAGATATCAAAACTAGAAGGTTTGCTTCACTTTCTATAATCTACCTTGCCTTTTGTTTCGACGACACCTACCGCTACCCAAATATGACAAAGATTAGGACAATCTACATCTCGAGTTATGCTGTCCGTAAACAAAAATCTAAATACACAAATGGCCTTGAAAACATGAAAGCATGACCTTCTTGGCGAAGGCACCGATGGCAAAACGCTGGGTTATATACGTACAGCCTCTGTTATCGTGGACAGATCAACCCAATTCGTTTTCTGCTTCGTTACTGTCTGATCTATAAGGAATTTCCCTCGAGTACCGAACGACACACCTCGGGGTGATCTGTCACACTTTGTCCAGATTGACTGTACGATTAGAGCTGGGGTTAATAGACTATAAACCTTTGTGGCTACCGCTTGGTCCCATGGCGATATGTGTCGCCTATCTAGGTGCTCCTAGCGGGGGCATGGTACAAGGTACCTGGGGCTACACTGGACCTTTCTGAACTCGCTAAAACAGTTAGTCATTGACAAGCAACTGGATATGATTTTGGAAATGGTCAGACGTTTCAAGTACCGTATATCATCCACTCAGTGACACTGGAGAGTTGTCAGAAAAACAGGTTTATAAGTACAGACTATTGATTTTAATTTCAAATCAGTGAAGAATTTGTTGAAAGTCTAAGTCTTCGTTTCTTATTGCCTAGGTACCTGGATGTCTAACCTTTCTGAACTCGTTTGTCAGTTGAATAAACTCGCGATTCAAATTCAAATTTTAAAGTTTATTGACATTTCACACAGACTATTACACAGCTCAAAAACAATACACAGTACACCGTATTGACATAATAAGCAAATCCGTATCATATCTTTTTTGATGTAAGGTTTCGTGATTGATTATAAACAAAAAAAGCTTGAGCCTGCCTTTTCAATGACTGATAAGTTACCGCCCTGTACCAATATTCACTGTTATCCCTCTTTTGTTCAATCACGTTTAGTGCACTTGTGGTATAGGTACATAAATTCCCTTTATTTCTTTCAACGTTCCTTGACCATTGTTATTATCTTCGTGCCACAAAGCCTTAAAGGCTACCAGCTGAAAATCAATATAATTCTTTTACAGTCATATCGGTATATGATATGGTGACAATATTCTAACGATGATATAGACACATACAATTCCGTCAGCGTAATGTAGTTTTGTACTGGTTGAAACATCCAGTTACCTATACGATACCCTGTTACAACACTTTGACTTCATAGATATTTTTAGTCACAAAGATCACAAAAGGCTTTAATTTAGTTGTATTTTCAATTATGTTAACAGAAGCATGAAGACCTTTATCTATACATCCATTCCAAGTGATGATGTATCTTTTTTCTCCTCCCTGTCCGTCGTCGGGGCCTCAGCTTTGGTCCTCGCTACTCCTTCTTCTGTCTGACGTCACGTCTTTTAGGGTACACCAACTGGTGACGGGTTTCCGGGGGTTATCCAGCATCTCATTCCACTGCTCTGACCAAGGGCCAACTTCACTGCCCCCTAGCGGTTTTCTGGGAATAACAGCATGCGACACATTAACATTAAGATTTAAAATGTAAACGTTCGGATCTGTGTGAAGTATTGTGCAATGTGCTGTATAATCCGTCATGTATTTTATGTAAATTCAAATTAAATTTTATCTAGAAATTTTCCAACTCATAGTCCCAAGTACGCATGTGCAAGGGATGCATTGTGGTCTAGGTCAAAGTTCAAGACCCATTAGCAAGGAAACAATATTTTCATTAGTCTAGACGTTTGGGAACACATAAGGATGTTTACATGCTCATGAAAAGTCACTGAAAAATAGTGTAGCTCTCTTTATGGCAACAGAACTTTACTAAAACATCTAGTCAACCGTTACTTACCCTGCAGTATCCTGTAAAACCAAAGACAGAAATACTCCTTTCATGTCCACTTCAGCCACATCAAACAGGAAGGACTGGTTGAAGATCGGATCAGCTGTGCCTGTTATCACCCTCGTTTTCTTCCTGTCTATCTTCCGACTTTCACACATCAAGGCCACTTTGGCGTACGAATCTGAAATGACGGTTGCCAAGTTACTATAATAAATTCTTGTGCAATGTTCGCATGCTGTAAAGTTATATTCCTATTCATCGTACAGAGAATTGGGAGGGTTGAAACAACAGTTGGGGGTATAGCTCAGTGGTAGAGCATTCGACTGCAGATCGAGAGGTCCCCGGTTCAAATCCGGGTGCCCCCTACTTTTTTTGCATAAGAGATAGCTGTAATACCGAATCATGTAATATCATGTAATACCGAAGCAAAGTGTTATTTTTGATACAAGTTACAGGCCCTATGCACAAAACGGTTTCAGCTAAAAGTTTTAGCAGTATGCATGCAACTGTGACATCCTATTGATTCGCAAGTATATCAAATAGTCGTCAACTCAAGTTATTGATATACTGACTAACCAACATGAAGTGTCTATGGTCTAACCTGGAGGAGGTAGAAGGTGGTTCTTAGGCACGATGTTCCGTGCCTTTATAATGGTGACCGTCAGTTGACCAGGCGATGGCAGATAACTCAAGGAGAACATCATCTGCCGAACGTCTTCTCCTAGCTAGAAGGATTAAAGTTAGCTTCAGTCATTGTTGGTGTGCAAACCTGCTTATCAATAGTAGGAAGTGAACACAGAAATGAGTTTGCTACTAGATTTCTTTTCAGATGACACAAGCAATGTTGTGTGGTCGCGTGGCGTAATGGCAGAGTGCTCGACTCGGAACCAAGAGGTCCCGGGTTCGAGTCCTGACATGCCACCGGTCTTGTGCCCTTTGTAAAACCACTTAATACGACTTTCCTCACTCCTCTCAGGTGAAAATGAGTATTGTCCCCTGTGTTGGTGGTGGCATTAACATAAGTTTTTAAAAACTTGAGTGTGCCCCCACCACGTCTTGTGATTACATGTTGGAATATTAAAGAAATGTTGAAATAAGCCTATGAACTAATTTTTACGAAGATCTTGAGAAGCAGACAACACTGCTCTTCTTGGCGATGTTAATGACCTTAACGTCGTTTCAAGAGACAGTCAGAGGCCGGAGCCTGCAGTTAGTAGACTGTCGAAAATTGGCTCTGTCTAATGCAATGTGCACTCCCTACATACAATAACCTATCATCACGAACCCCGCAGCAACTTGTAGTAATGGAGATAATACTATGTTAGTGGGGAGCGTGGGCGTTACAAATTACTTTAACAAATGGGCGCTTGCCAAAATGCGTCACGCCTGCCTTTTTATCCCTTTTAGTGACATGAACGAAGAAGGTTCAATAAAGATTCCCCCTGACCCCACTTCCAATTAATATAGGAAGCACGTGAAACTGCATGTGTATTATAATATAAATCTATATAGATCTTTCCTGAGAGAAATTTTACTCTTTGATGTTAGCTGCTTCTTCTTTGTTGGTTTTCAACAAGGCCTTACAAGAATCTTCCAATACCTTTCAACCCTTTCTTTTATCTGTGTTGTTTTTTGTGGTAGGTATCGACCTTTTGCTCGGGAAAAGTTTGGTCTAGACAGTAAAGTTGTCTGGAGCTGCAGGGGCGTGTTAGCTGAAGATTTTGAAACATGATAGGTGCAGATTCGAAGGGATGGATTTTCGTGATTTTTGCCACCGGTTAATTTTTTTACGACCAAAATTATGGTAACGTTACGTGAATTTTTCGAATTAGGGAATTTTTGGTAATTGATAAGAGATTTTCATATCTCAGTGTTGTTTAATTACAAGAAATGGTATGCCATACATTTAACATAATTGATTTGTCATCTTCATATTGATGATTTGCTCGAACACCGATATGGGACTTAGCAATCGTTCACTCCCATCAAAAATATGCCTCTGCTAAGCCTATAGTCGGACATTTTCAGCCTCTTCAGCAATCTTTTGCATCAGTAGCAACCCATCTCCATCCATATCAAAGCCGTAAAGCGCTTGGATGTAACGACAGCCATTTTACACGTTGCTCTAAGGTATGGATCTTCAAAACGACCCTTTTTGTGTTGATATGAAGATAAAACCCCCGGTGTCAGACAGGGATGATGATATTCATGGCACGCACTATCAATGTTAAAATGTTGATATCGAGGAATTAACGAACATGATCTGTGGATATTTAATATCAATTCAATTCGATTCTTTATTCACACATTAACATTGCAGCCACTCGGTATCCTGAGTTGCATTGATTTTTACAAATCTAATTTTCCAAAAAAATTAAATGCGTCCAAAGACGCAAGGAAATACTTATCAACTTAAAGAGCTTTTTTTTTTCAATTTTGAAAAAAATATTTCCCCCCCCGGGTGAATTTTTCCGTGACCCTCCCCCTGGCTCAAAAAAAGTTTCCTTGACCCTCCCCCCTCACGCACCC